GACCAAACTGGATGAAGAGGATGAGAGGTTTCTGGGAATTAGCACATCTGCCTCATTACTTCTAAGATCTACAGCATTTTAGAGGGCGGGTGTGATGTGTTACGTCAATGTGAATTTCAAATTGCAGTGGAGTTTTAGCCAGTGGACCTCTGTTGCACAGTTAGCTTAGTTTGCTCCATGTGTACAGCTTTCAAATTATAGACAGTCACAATTATTTTACTTTAACACTTAATATTTTATCTCTCACATATAGAGTCTAAAATATAAGTGTTATCCTAACTTAGGCTTTCAAAAAAAACCAAACTTTTTTGCGAGGGTGTGATGTGGCCTGGCACCTCTTTATTAACTCCCAGAGCAGAGCTTTTATTGGACTGTTCCTCCTTCACATCTCCTCACTCCTGACAAGTCGAATCACTGGAAATTTTCAGCTCAGGGCAGCATCCCTCAGCTTTGAACATTTGTTTGGACAAACATAACAAGAGAGAACAAAAAACAAGAAGAGGTACAGAAGAAGAAGAAGAAAAGCACCTGAGAGGAAGGCACAAAGAAACTACCATATATAAAATGTGAGTAATAACTGGGTTTTGTGGCATTTAAGTTCATTTAAACGGATTTAAAATGACTCTGTTGCCTCACGGCAGGAAGTTAAGCAGCTTTGGGTATGAGCCACTGGCTGGAAACTTTCACCAGCTGTTTCCTTCAGGTGCTGCAATTGTTTCCAATTTCAGTGGATTTTGTCATTTTTACAGGCAACACTGGAATTTTCAGAAATATCACTTTTTACAGAAGTGTTTGCTTGGCTGGGATGGCTACAGCCTCTAGTGCAGAGAAGTTATAAACGAAGAGGATCGGCTTATACATATGATCTTATAAATAAAAGAAATCATCTGAGCATATTTTAAAGGTACAGACTTTCTAGGAAAATCTGTTCAGAAAATCATTTCTGTTTTTACTAGTTTCCTGTCTGAGTTGCAACAGAGGAATGGTAAAATCCCCCCAAAGCCCCCTAATGTGTCACTGCCACCAAGAGCTGTCTCTCTATTACGATGCAGGGTCTTTACCTTACTATAGTAAAGTGCCTTGAAGTGACCATTGTTGTGAATTTGTGCTGCAAGAATAAAATTTTCCAGAATTCAACTAATTTTAGTTTCAGCTCATCAGAGCTGCGTGCGCTGACTCAGAGCTGTTAATTCTGCCTTCCATCACTGCCAGTGAAATTAATTTAAGGGGCAGCTAAGGACAAGAGGAAACATGCCCACGAGCAATTAGTAGCACAGAGTACACGAGGGAATAAAAGTGTTGAAAAAAGACAAACTAGAATGATGTGAAATAATCAGTAAATTAAATCTTGAATAGTCCTTCCTGTGCTGCCCCCCTCTCCAAACGCTTAATCTTGTTTAGGGGAACAAGGACACTGTTGTCCCTCACTGCGCCACCACTGTAAGAAAGTGGGACAACAGGACTGTGTGTCAGATTAAATGTTGCACCTGAGTCCGGCAGGTAGGTGCAGCTCATTACAAAGCTGCCTTGTGCTCAGTGTCGCGTGGAAACAGCGAGTTACTGAAAGAGACGAACTTAGCGAGTCCAAAGAAAACTTAAGCGACAGTTGGACAGCTTCTGCGTGCTTCGGCTTGAGTGTCTAAATGTTCATTTAAAGTTAAAATAATCCCCTTAATCTAACGGGTTGTCACCCACCTGCAGCAGCGTGAGATGCCCGTGAACGCAGGGCATGTGGGTTATAGCAGTGTGCCGTCGGGAGCCTCAGAGACATGCCCTCTGCTCATTCCGGAGTCCGACTCTCTGTGGAGGCCAATGACGAGAGAGGAGCTCGAGGCAGCTGCTGGGCCTGCCTGGAGGAAAGTGCGCTGTTACCTGATGCTGCTGTTCTGGCTCGCCTGGGTCACCATACTTGCCACTTCTATCGGCATCATAATAAAGAGCCCCCGGCCGGTTGCGACGCCCTTGAAATGGTGGCGGGAGTCTGTGTTCTATCAGCTGCAGGCCGACCAGTGGACGGAGGCGCAGACCGAGGGTTCAGAGGGCATGTGCGGTAGGACGCGCCGAAATAAAATGCTGAAATTTGGGTTTAATATTTCTATGCTTAAAAAATTGACATGATGGATAATTTAAAGGTGGGTGATCAATTCAAATATCGATAGATTCTATTCCGACGCTGATATTGGATCGATATTAGCACGATAAGATAGATACTTTGCTTCGATCCTTTCAGTTCAATTTTAGACCACTAAACTGTGGTAAATTATTTATTTATGTTTGTTTTTTTAAAATGGAGGGGGGGGGACTTAAAACATGCACTACGAAAAATGTCTGAATCTTTGTATAGCCTGGCCCAAATAAGACAGACACATTTACATTCCAGTCCCCCATTTTCAAAATACATGAGAAACTGAAAAATGTTTTGCTTTGACTGATTATTTTGGAAAGTGAAAATCACAGTGACTGATCAAAATTAGTTCAGAATTTACAAATTGATGATTCATCTCAGTCATGATGCACAAGCTGCTTTTATAAGTTAAAGGCACTGGCCCCGTAATTACATGGTAAATGGCCTGGATTTGTACAGCGCTTTTCTAGTCCCTAAGGACCCCAAAGCGCTTTACACATCCTGTCATCCACCCATTCATACAAACATTCACACATGGTACCTGATCTATATCAAAATTTGCAGCGTGCACAACCTTAGATGCACCTCATTCACCATCACTTAACTACCTGCTTCCTGGCAGTCACGACAACAGGAAAGCTGCAGTCATCAGTTTTCATTGAAACCATTTTTTCCATTATTTTGTCCACCGCATTTATGTTGGTAGGGCCAATAACGGCTTTGAAAACCACACAAATGTTATTGTACCCAAAAATGCAATGTGCAAGCGTGGCTGTATTTGTACCAATTATTGCTTTTAGTTAAACAGTTTCACTATTACTGTGAGGCCAAAAGCTGCACTGGGTTCATCTCTGTGCTGATAACTACTTAATCTGACTGTGTGATTAATACTGTGGGCTACCACATGATTGTATCAAGTTATGAGAGTCTGAGAAAGTGCTGTTGCTTTTGCTTTTAAAATAGAAAACATTTTTCTAATTCCACATGAGCATCTGTGCGCAACATGTTCTTCGATATAAATGATAAATAACAGCTCTACTGAAATAAACATGAATGCAAACCCATCACATGAGGAAACTGAATATCATGGCATTCTGATTAAAAATAAGTAACTCTTTCTGATATGTATTTTCTTAAGCAATGCATGAGCAGCTTCCCTACCTCGGGTCTTTGGGTATAGGGGCTCTAATCCTGAAGGGTGTGTTTGATGTTGAGGTCTTTCCTTTAAACCTCACTGCCGCTGATAAAAACTTTGCTCCACTGGCTTGGATACAACACCTGCTCAGTGAGCCACAAAGCAGGTGAGTAAAGAACTTTTTTTTTTTGTTTTTGCAAATGGTATTCAGACGTGGTTTTATGGGCCTTTATTACTGATTAACAGGCTTCATGCTGGTCCTGCAGGTCTTAAAATTGTGCTTGACTTGTGTAAACGGGATCTGTTGGCACTTCAGGATGTAACTGGAATCCTCTCAGCTACCACACAGGTAAAACCTGCTTTCTGATCATGCACTCAGTCAGGAGTTCATAAAATATGAAATGGATATTCTTTCTACAGCGTGCACTCCACTTCTGGTTGGAAAAAGGTGTGGCAGGTTTTGTTATCTGTGACACTGATGCAGCATATTCAGAAAAGGTAAAATGATATTGACTAGTTACCATAAGCTCAGTTTTCCCAATTAAATGTGTACTTTTCAGACTCTGCTGGAGTGGAGACGTGTCTTTGGGGAATTCAGTAGTCCCGAGGAGGAAAGGTGTTGTTATGCATGTAAATACAGAGTTTTTTTTATGTTATAAAGGAAGCTCAAGGATTGCTGGAAAAAAAATGTTTAATTTCAGGATTGTCGTGGTTAAACAGACGGCAGATGTTCTGCGTCCATTAAATGGCTCCGGTCAGGTCAACGTTACACTGGTGGATGTGGTCATGAGGTCCATTCTCCCTCGTTCACATCACCCACTGTTTGCACAGGAAGTGGCTGATGCTGTAGAGAGACACCTACAAACAAGAGGAGATAATATATGGCCCAGCTGGACAGTAAGATTTCTCTATAAGATTCTTGTACATTTTGATAGAAAAATGCTTATTTTACAGATTTTGCAAATTTTCCTAAAATCCTTGTACAGTTATTTTAATTGACTGCATCAAGTCATTTTTTTCCATTATAAGCAAACCTGTTATTTGTGTTATTAAATGTCAGAAAAGCTAATGCACATATTGCTTAATCTAGTGGTATTATCTGTTTCTGACTGAACAGCTCAGCCCTAACGTTCGTTTAGGCTATGTTCACACTGCAGGCGAAAGCGCATCAAATCCGACTTTTTTGACCCTATGCGACCCATATCCGATCATGGTATGACAGTGTGAACGGCACAAATCCGATATTTTCAAATCCGATCTGGGTCACTTTCGTATGTGGTACTGAATCCGATACATATCTGATGTTTTAGAAAGCGACTGCTGTTTGAACGGTCATGTCGCATTAAATCCGTCTTTTACGTCACTGACACAAGACAGACGCCAATTATCAGCGCCGGAGAAGACATCGTGAACGCTTCCTGGCCATCCAGTGAAACTGTTGGGAAGACAACGTTGGAGAAACGTGAACATTTTATTTGTACTGTATAATCTGCAGATTCTGACAGAAATCTGCAACTATCCTTTGAAGCACCGCTCCTCTAAAACAGCAATAAGGATAATTATTAGGCCATATGTAAATAACAAAATAACTTTATAACTTAAAGCAAAATTGGGAAACGTAAAGTCCGAAACAAGTCTTTATATTAAGGGCCATCAGTCAAACAATACTGTTTGCTCTGGGTCTAAACAGAGCGCGTTGTGTGTGACATCTTCTTTTGCGCATGCGGGCCGCTTTGAGGGTTCACACTAGAGCGCGTTTGCTGTCGCATTTTATTTGTAGTGTGAACGAGCAGACAAAAAAATCGGATTTGATCAAAAAATTGGAATTGAGCATTAAAACCTGCAGTGTGAACGTAGCCTTAGTCAACTTTCTATGTGACAGTTTACAAGCATCAGACTACAAAGATGCGACAAAGATACTAAAAACCGCAGCTCTTATGCACTACTTTTCATTACATATTTATTTTTTCAGCTTTGGTTTGGAAAGTTAGTAGTTTTGTATTGTATTTGTATTTATTTATTTATTGTCATTGTCAGAGAACAATGAAATTGCATTTGGGGCTTCCGTACAACCCGTAAATAAAATAATGAAGAAAATAATAAATACCCCTTAAAACCCAAGTGTAAATATTTAACCCAGTGTGACTCCAGTGCAATAAGACAATCCTTAGCAACAACATGAGAACATGACAAGTAAACATGAGAACCTGACAAGTAAGTTCAGTGCTATTAAGAAGTTGGATATGGTTATTGTCCGTGAGAGGGGGGCAGAGAGTTCAGGAGCCTCACAGCCTGTGGATACAGGCTGTTGGCCAGTCTGGATGTTCTGGCCTGTATAGACCTGTACCTTCTCCCTGAGGGCAGCAGGTGGAAAAGGTGGCGCGCAGGGTGATGTTGGTCCCGCAGAATACTGTGCACCCGTCTCAGACAGCGAGTGGGGAAGATATTACTAATCTCTGGCAGACTTATTCCAATAATTCTGCCAGCTTCTTTCACCACCCTTGGTGCAGCTGGGGAACCACACTAGAAATCCATACGTCAGAACGCTGCTGATGGCACAGTTGTAGAGGTTCAACATCAGAGATCTGGGAATGTGTGCGCTCCGCAGTCTCCTCAGGTTGGAGGCAACGCATCTCAGGAACTGAAGAAGTTACTCCTGGTGTTGGTGATGACTCTGCCAGGATCACCAGCAATCCAGTATGATAAAGACATGGAGAAAACAAAGGTAAAGCCTTGTTTGAGACTTTAAATTGATTGATGAATGATTTTTAACCGCTAACGATGTCATCTGAAACATTGCAGCTTGTATTATACGCCACTGAAAATTTGCATGTCTCACAGAGAGATGGACGAGCTACTAGATACCAAACACTCAGTATGAAGCTAGCTTGTGCTCTAAAAATGTCTCAATAAGATTTGTTCTTTGACTTTTTTTTCACAAATGCAGTTGGAACTCTTGCAAAGCTGTTGCAGTATTTGGGGCATATTGTATTTATTTTTCTCACATTTGTCGCCATCCTCCCCTCTTCCTCAGGAAAAGGGCAAAATGAACCGTGCAGCCCTTCAGCTCTTCTCCTCCCTCAGCTTCTCCAAAGCCAGAGAAGAAGCGCTTCAATATGGCAGTTTCACCTTCCTCCCTTTCAACACCTCGTCATCCTCCAACTCCTCTCTTTCCTCTCCTTTATCTCCCCCAATTCTTGCCTTTCTACGCTCCTGGGGTTGTGTCCACTTCCTTGTTCTGCTCAACTTCGAGTTTCAGCCTCAAAGCCTGGATCCTGCCTGGGCCTCGAGCTTGCCTGATGCCGGGCTGTTTGTAGCCAGCACAGGGATGGATCGTTTTGGGTCCACATCTCTCTACAGTCTCAGACTGCAGCCCCACGAAGCCATCGTAGTCAAACTTTTTGAAGCACAAAACTATTTGTAGAGTTTCTGTGGTCGGGTTTCAGTATATCTCAAACCACAGTGATGCAGCTGTTTTTTAAAAAAATTCTCATTTGTGCTCAGAAGTCACTGAAAATAAAGTCATTGTTTTGTGTGGCAACATTTGTGGTTCCCCTTCAACCACTGGGATCTGTAATATATGTATAATATAGCATGACTGTATGAACTCAGATAACAAGTAAATCTTGATTTCACATCACAAAATTTTGTTTTGTGTGTGTTTAAAGAGTTAAAATGATACTCAGTTCACAATGGGTTTAGACAGTGTTGGGTAAGTTACTTTAAAATAGTAACTTAGTTACATTACTAGTTACTTCTCTCAAAAGTAACTCAGTTACTTCAAGTTACTCGTTACTTTCAAAGTAACTAGTTACTAGGGAAAGTAACTTTGGTTTTACTCAGAATTCTCTTGTTAATGTGTTTCTTCCATAACTTTGCCAGTCTTCTAGCTTGCTTACTTGCCACAAGTGCACTGTGCCACCTACCAATAGAAAGGAAAAGATAATGTGCATATTTCCACGAGAGAAATCCCACGCCTGGACCGTCATTGACTGCTGCCATGATTCTAGCCTACGTCACAGCGTCATGTGCGCCTTTTACATCCAACACAAAAACTGCAGTCGTGGTGCTTTCGATTGTACTCAGAACTCAGAAATTCTGCCTTCTGAATAGGAAGATGTAGGTAACACCAGACTGCAGATGAGCTGCATACAGGGCTGGACTGGGACAGAAAATTGGCCCGGGCATTTTGACTAGAGACCGGCCCACCATTATAGGAAAAATCATAAAGCCTTTGAATGAAAATAAACACTGTTGTGACAGTGATGTACACTGTTTTGATGGTATATATGCATCAATCTATCAATCGTTTGTTGTAAGATTCAGATAATTATTTTTTAAAAGCTAGACATTTTAAATGAGAATAAGAAAGAAAAGTATTTCTTTGTGCCCCCCTCTCCCTGTTAATGCCCTACCTGCCCCCCTGGCAACACTTTGCTAGACCCGCCCCTGCACAGTTACCAGCTGTCAGCTACCTAAAAAAGGATCCTGGTGTTATTTGTCTCTCAGAAACAGTTCATAACTTCCCTTCAACTCATTCATGTCACCTAAAAGGTAAACCTGTTTCTCCATCACAGCTCTGATGATCCAGTAAGGACATCTCCTGGTTTCATCTTCATGTTTCCCTCTCACCACATAACCAAACCATATCATGACCAGCAGGTTTACAGCTGTGGCTCCAGCAAACATCAGCTGATACTAGAAATTAATATTAAATAAATTCTAACAACAGCTGATCAAGCTTAAACGTGCTGCTGTTGTTTAGCGCGACATCCGCTGGTTTCCTCTTTCGGCGCAAAGTGGGCGATAAACAAACAAGAGAGCCGATCAGCTGATCATTGATCAGTTTCATGATTGAAGTAGAAACGGGAGAGGGAGGGGGGAGAATGAAAGAAGAAGAGGCAGCTGTGCAGCAAAGACACAGAATAACTCCAGCTTTGTGTCTTTTTCATTGTAGCTGAATTACGGGACAAACTGTTCCTTTTCACCTCAATAAGAAACACGTAATATTTTCTCTGAATACCAGACGGGACGGTTGGCAACTCTAATAACTTATGAACAAAATAAAGTTCAACATCATTAACTTCATAGCACCACCCAGCTGTATAGAAACTCCGTCATGCTAGCTAGCACGCAGTACGGAAAAAGTCAGAATAACGAAAATAAACTCCACCTAAACTTGGTTCATATCTGACCCAGAGAGACTGCAGGTCATAACTTCTTACCTGAAGTTCAGTTCACACTTGGACCGGCGGCCGCCTCGGGTCTCTTTTCCTTCTGCGTCCCTTTTCCTTCATCCACCTGCTGGCCTCCACCACTTGCTAATGTTACTGAATCTGTGGAAGCTCCGCGATAGCCACCACACGAAGTAACGAGTAACGACCCTATCTAAATCCCAGTAACGACTAACGCGTTCCTGATTTTGGCATAATAACTAGTTACCGTGCTCGTTACCACAATAATAACGTAGTTACTGTAACGCGTTACTTAATAACGCGTTAGTCCCAACACTGGGTTTAGATAACCTATTATAAGTGTGCTTATATCAGAAGTGAAAAAATCCTTTTTACAACAAAATTTGGCAGTATCCCGAGTGTTATTACTGTAACCGAAGAGTTCTCTTGTATTTTGAGTTTCCTGAATTTTTGAAACGGTCACTTAGGCGTGCGACTAAGTACAGTATATGCTAGCAAAATGATACAATAAATGCTGGATATAAGGACAGCATAAAAGATGCCAATCAAAGAAAAGAATGAACGTGACATGCAACACAACCCTTTCTGCCACACTCAATTAGTGGTGAAGTGTGGCTGCCTGAGAAAACAAAAAACACTTGGGAATATAACCTCTCCATCTTGGGATGTTTACATTAAGTAACCACAAGGTGAAGCTGCAGTACCAGTAACTGTTCAGCTGCTCCCCCAACTCTTAAAGTATGACAGTAAAAACTCATCAACTACAAATAAAGAGTTTCTAAAAACAGTAAATCAGTATTGATACACGGCACTTACAAAATCAGCTGCCATCATGTGACTGCTGAGTCATTCACTGCTAATATGGCACTTTCTTTTTTTTTTAAACGTTCCTCATTTTCATCTCTTTCACTCTGAATCATGTCAGATTACTTGTTATTTCAGAAATTTAGGCAGCATTTCACTTCTCAAGAAACTTTCTTACCACATCATCGGCATCTGGAGTGATCTCACTAGAATTTCAAATCAGCAAGTCTTTGTGTGATGCATCTGAATAAACCTATAAAGCAATTATACTTTTTTTTAAAAAAAATTTTTAAGATCACATCTTTCTCAAAGACCTCCATGTTATATTCTCTCTAATATGGTTAACATAAAAATCAAAAAGTGTGTTGTACTGTTGCAACAGTTTTATTTTTTTTAACTTTAACACTTTTACTTGCCACAAAAAAATTATAAATAATCCACACACACACACACACACACACATATATATATATATATATAGATATATATATATACATATACATATATATATATATATATACATAATATACACATATATATATATATACATATACATATATATATATATATATACTGCATAAGGGCTTTCATGTCATGTCATGTTCTTCAAACATCGGGTCTCATAGAAGACAAACAGTGCAAGTAAGGATGTTCACTTTTGCTTTGTTTTTACATGGACAAAAGAGTTTTTGACAAGATTGTAACTGTAATGAGATTTTATTTTATGTGAATGAAACGTTAATGATAGAATGAATGATATTCTTTCATTCAATTCAACAGATTTACAGCTTGATGATTAAACACTACATCCTCAAAGCAAAATGTGTGGGTGGTAATGTGTCTAACATCGAGACATGCATGACTGAGCATAAGTGAAATCAAAACGTGAATGTGGATTGAAAACAAAAATGTTTTGAAGAAAGAAAAATCCCAATTTTTGTCGTACTCATACATTTGCACTTGCATAAACCAAACTTGCATAATCATTAAAACACACAGCTTTACAGCACAGGAATACAGTTACAGCTTTAAAGTTAAAAGTCTAATTCTCACAGTGCATTTTGCAGCAGCACGGAATTTTTAAAAGCAAAAAGCTCTTAAAATGACATTCACAATCATCATAGGTAGTTTAGAGATCCATGAAAAGGAGGAAGAAAAGGAGAATGCAATGTTCAAGCAATACAGTGACATTATGAACAGGACTCCCACAGGAATGAAACCCTCTCTGAAAAAGAAGTAACCCAACTCTCAGAGATGGTTTGGAATAGCAACAACTTATACTAATCCCTTTCGTTTCTCAACATAAAACATTATTATTAGACTTGCAAAAAAAAGCAGGTTTACCTTTAAATTACTGTTTTAATGCAAAAGTAAGTGGTAAAAGGAATAGGCCATTTTTACGACAATTTTTCCCTCCAACAGAGCACAATTATGAAAAGCTTCTACTGTACCAACATATATACATAAACATTTATGTATTACCTTTTCACATTCACTTAAACCTTATGGGTAAAGGTAGAGGATGTATTTTAGAAAACACACACATACAACCACAAACACATGAAACACAAAATAGTCAGTGTTATGAGTCAGGCAATCTTAACTCCTGAAGAAGTAAAAGCTTTACGTTTCTGAAATCCATTTTTTCAGTCACAGTGGTTTTGCTCTTGATACATATGTCTTGACAACGATGTGATTTTTTTTAAATGCAGAAAGGATATTTCAGGGGACTCTGATATAAACTGTAGAAGCATTTACACTTTCTTGGAGAAAAAGGACATTACACGTGTTTACAGATGTTATTGTTACTCCCATTCTGAGGGCTCCCCTCCGCAGGAAGTTGTTATGCTTGAGACAGACAGTCTATGTTTATCCCTCAGTCGAGATAAGGTGGTCTCTACTTTGTTGCCTACTGCTTCTTTATATGAAAGTAAATACAACGTGGGCGATGCCTGAGAAAGTCTCTGAAGCCACCAGCAGAGTCTGGTCAACACAATGCAGAGCAGAAAAATGTAGGCTTGACCCTTTGGGACCCTTCTGTAAAATTGAGAAAAATCTACTGACTTTTTGGTCTAGTGCCAACCTGTGTTTGAGATTTTTGGTCTTAAATAAAAATACACTATATAGACAAAAAAAACAAAATAGGCTTCATCTGTTAATCTTCAAATTCAGGTGCTTTCTATTCCATTGCCACAAGTTTACAAAATCAATCACCTAGCCATGAAGACTGCCTTTGAAAACACTTGTGAGAAAGCAGGTTGTCCTAAAGAGCTCACTGAATTCAAGTAAAGGTACTGTAATAGGACACCATCACTGCAGCAATTAAGTTTGTAGAACTCTTCCCTCTTGAGTGATCTTACTGCAAGTGGAAATAACCACTGACACATTAGTAATTAGCATTGCTAACACTGGATCTGCTACACATTAGCATATGTTGCACATACAACAAACATTGACATCATTAGCATTCAGCTTGGATCACCCCATATGGAAAATAAATTTCCAGCCCCATTGTCTCCATTAGTAAATGTTTCCTAATATACAGAAAGTTCTATGAGACATATATATCACACTGTGATTTAGTTCTATATTTATTCTTATGCATAATAAATTTTACTTGATTAAATTTTAATTCATATGTTTTTTAATTCATGTTTCATGACACACAAATACATTTTCAATACAC